ATAACCCCCCTGTCACGTTCCATGCTTCATGTCAATCTCATTTTCAATTTATATTTCATACATATTCCTATAGGGGTTATGATTCCAGACAGTTTACCGTGTTTCATATCATACAATTCATGCTGTTTACATTTAAATATTTCATACGATCATGCCATAAATGATCTATTTTACCTTAAACAGGGTCAAAACTAAGTCTGAGAGGGTCGAAACGGTGACAAACGGTTTGGAAATAGGTTTCTAGAGTCGAATAAGCCGCCGGAGCTGTGAAGCCGCCACCGAGCCGATTGAGCTGCCGAAGCCAAGGGGAGCCGCGCTGCAGACGTGCCACGTGGCACAATCAGAGGGTGACGCGTGTTCAGGGGTCTCAGGTCGAGGCGCGGGTTATCGGATCACTCGCGGGTGACAGGCTGGCCCAACTGAATGCAGGGGGGCTTGGCTGGGCGTGTCGGCGTTGGACTGGGCTTACCCGTTTTGGCCTTAAGCGATTAGGCCATGGGAACCGTTGGGTATTGGGCTGACCTAAGGTTATTGGGTTCAGTTTGGGTTGCGGGATCCGGCCCTCGGGTCGGACTTCATCTTCTTCACCCGATTGCCTGCGCGTTTTTTTGGTGACTTTTCTCTCTCCTCATTAACGTCGTTTTGACATCCTTTTTCCCTCCTTTTTCCTCCGTTCCCGAGTCTCTTCTTCCCCCTAACCCCATTTTTGGTATAGATCTTGTTTGTAAAGGCCTCACACTCCTGGATCTAGAGAAGTTTGGAAATTCGACGTTCCGTCTCCCTTGCTTACGGTATTCAACGTATAGGATTCGTCTAAATCTACCCCTGATGTGTGTAAAAGGTTCTGGATTACTTTTGTTGCGTAAAATGGAGGTTTTGACGTCGATTTCGTATGGTTTGGCCTTGCCGGAGTTTCGTCGAATTTTTCTGTTCCTCTTCGTTTTTCTCTATTTTTTTGTTCTTTGCAGGTCATTTTGGGGTGGCTGAAGGTCGGGGTCGAGTTCTATGGCATCCCAGCCTTCGGCCGCCCTTTGTGGGTCGTGTGTAAGTAAAAACTCTAGCGTCGCCGCTGAAGGTCGGGGTCGAGTTCTATGGCATCCCAGCCTTCGGCCGCCTTTTGTGGGTCGTGTGTGAGTGAAAACTCCAGTATTGCCGGAGTATTCGGTTCTGCCGACGACCTTTTTTTTTTTTATCCAATCTATTACATTACCTACCCCTAAAAAGAACTTTCTTCCTCGAAAGTCTCGAACTTGTGGATCAACTCGGGATATTTTTTCTTTATTTCCTCCTCTCGTTCCCACGTAGCTTCCTCAATTTGGTGGTTACGCCACAATACCTTAACGAAACCTGTATTTCTATTACATAAGGCTTTCACTTCTCGGGCAAGGATTTTAATCGGTTTCTCCTCATAACTTAAATCTTCCTCAATTTCCAGAAGTTTGTAGTCTATTACGTGCGTAGGGTCTGCAATATATTTTCTTAACATGGACACATGAAATACATCATGTACTCTTGAAAGTAAAAGTGGTAAAGCTAGTTTGTAAGCTACCAAACCTACTCTTTCTAAAATTTCGAACAGTCCAATAAATCGGGGGCTTAGCTTCCCCTTTCGTCCGAATCTTAGAATGTCTTTCATAGGAGCTACTTTTAGGGACACTGGGTCCCCTTCTTCGAACTCTAAATTCCTACGCCTAACATCGGCGTAGCTCTTTTGCCTACTCTATGTGGTACGCATCCTTACTCTAATTTTATGTACCGCCTCGTTGGTGATGCAGACCAGCTCGAATCCTACAAGTTCTCGTTCTCCTACTTCGTCCCAACACAATGGGGATCTACATTGTTTTTCATACAACGCTTCAAAGGGTGCCATCTCGATGGTTGCTTGGAAGCTGTTGTTATAAGAGAATTCCATTAAGTGCAGTTTGGTGTCCCAACTCTCTGTGAAATCCATAACGCATGCCCGAAGCATGTCTTCTAGGATTTGGTATAATCGTTCAATTTGGCCATCCGTTTGTGGGTGAAAGGCGGTGCTAAAGTCGAGGCGGGTACCCATCGCTTTTTGGAGTTCGCGCCAAAAGGCCGACGAAAACATGGGTCCCGATCCGACACAATTGACACCAGTACTCCATGCAACCTCACAATTTCTTTCACGTACAGTTGGACCCAATTGTCTACTGTATATGTTGCCTTACCCAGTAGGAAGTGAGCCGACTTTGTCAGACGATCAACGACCACCTTGATTACTGTATAGCCCTTTAATGTTTTGGGTAGGCCTACTATGAAATCCATGGCAATGTTTTCCCATTTCCATTCTGGTGTACTTAGAGGTTGTAGTAGCCCGGCGGTTTTCTGCCTAGGGGCTTTTACTTGTTGGCACACCAGACAATTACTCATGTACTCCGCGATATCCTTTTTCATACTTCACCACCAGAAGTGTTGTTTCAAGTCTTGATACATCTTTGTTCCACCTAGATGTATCGAGAAGGGTGAGTTGTGTGCCGCAGTTAGGATTTCATTCTTTATTTCGCTCATGGGTGGCACACATAAACGTCCTTGACATAATAATTCGTCATCTGTTGACTTAGGAATTCCGTCCACTGGGCCTACTTTCAATTGGTCTAGGATTTTGCTTAGGCTTGGATCCCCACGTTGTGAGTCTATGATCCTTTGTCTGAGCATGGGATGCACTGTCAGTCGGGCTATTTGGACTGCCACTTCTTCGATTACTACCGCTATGTCAACTCGTTTGAAATCAGTCCGCACTCGTGGCTCCCTTGTGATGAGGGCCGACGAGTGTACTGCTTTTTGACTCAGTGCATCAGCGACTATGTTTGCTTTTCCAGGGTGGTACTGGATATCTATGTCGTAATCTTTTACCAGCTCTAACCATCTACGTTGCCTCATGTTCAATTCTTTTTGTGTGAACAAGTATTTTAGGCTTTTATGGTCCGTATAGATTTGGGTCTTTTCGCCATACAGGTAGTGTCGCCAAATTTTTAATACGAACACCACCGCTACCAACTCCAAATCATGTGTAGGATAGTTTTTCTCGTAATCCTTTAATTGGCGCGATGCATACGCAACAACCTTGCCATGTTGCACCAGTACACAACTTAACCCCTATTTGGATGCATCACTTTAAATCATGTATCCCACAGAACTCTCTGGAACTGTGAGCACTGGGACAGATACTAGTGTCATAGCCCAAAATTTGAATCCGAAACAAGGTGTTCAAGTATGAAAAGTATGTAAACGGTTTAAAAAACAATGCATGACAGATCTAAACAAAAATATTCACAGACTCCTAAACGCCCCGAGACACTCCTCTGTGGCATTAAGATTCAGCATGCATTCCCGCCTCGATCCATGGCATCACTCACCTGAAAAAAAAAGTAGAAAGATATGAGTATAAAAATACTCAGTAAGTAGCCTACTTGTAGGCTCTTTTCGCATCCTTATCTTGGTAGGTATCCACAGTCTTTCTTGGGTTTCTAAGGAGAGTGATCTAAGCTGCAACTCTCTTTTCTGTATCTTAGGAGGCTTGCCCATCTTAAGCACTGAAATGATCAGTGTCCTGAGGTGAGGCGCGACCTCATAAGTAAATCTAAGGGGATCGTATGGCTGGATCTGAATACGTGACTCTCTCTGAATATCATCCGTGGAGGTTAGCTGACGACCCTCACACGGGACCATACATCTACTAAATTCGAGGTGCGGCCCCCTATGTGCCGATCAGCTACTGAGTCATCCTATGTGGCTCCACGTCCCCCGCTCCGGGACGGGTTTCTACGGCCCAGGAGTCCTGTTCAAAAGACCCCTTAGCTATCACCACTAGGTCTGGGCACCTATCACACTTCCCTGTCCGGATCTATCAAGTTCATTGATCTCCGTACCAGAGCTCTGTCTCGATGGTACGGTATCGGAGGAGAGAGGGAAGTGGAGGTTCAATGACAATATCTACACTGCTCAACTCTAGCGGGCTACCTACAGTTACCGTGGTGACCTATTATTCTTTCTAGGGTGGAACTTGGTGGGTTAGACTTGGATTCATGTATCTCTAGGATTCTCGTGCTTGGTCTCACAAACCTATCGAGTTTGAAATTCTGGGCTCTGGATCTGCCAGTAATCATTTCGCAGGTCTAGTTGCACGGTATTCTAGAGGTCCCCTAATCTAGGGTCTCATCTAGCCTACTTAATCACAAACACCCTAATCTATGCTCATAATTTCTTCCGATTCATCAAAAAAGATAACATAAGCAATCGTCATGCATAAAAGTTAACACACAGTAGTTCATGCAATATTAACAACATGCTCAACGGGAAGATAACGTCCATCTTACCCGGAGCGCAGATTTCACAAGTTTCTCATCCTCCTCATGCATACATACTTTATCAAAATCTCAATCAAACAGATTTAATAAACATTTCATATCTAGCTTTCCTTAATCATTTCATTTTCGTAGTTTCCATACTAATATACTAGGTCCGGCTAGCTAAGTTAATGGGTGGTAGCATGCATGCTTGTTCCTAGCGGTTCCTACAAGTACTGCTCGTGGGAATCAAAATGGCTACTTACTTGGTTGGCGCGTGTCTTCCCGAGTTCGAGTTTTCTTGCCAGAAAGGATTCCAAAAATTTTGAAATTTCCTTGACAAGTTCTAATTCACATAATAATAGGGTCAGTATCAAAATCGGGTCAGAAAACAAGCAAACAGAGACTGAACGGAAAGAAAAACAGTGATTCACGTGCCTACACGCGCCCTGGAGGTTTCTACGTGCAGATCCTACGCGCGCGTGCCCACATACGACAACCCAGGTAGACGCGGGTCAGAGGCGCCGGGTCGGGGCGATTCGCATGCGATGCTGAGTCGGGCCGGCCAGATCCACATGCCTGATGCATGTCCGCTGCAGGGTGAGGACGTGCCTCACAAGTCGATGATCGACACGTGTCGATACTGGCTCCACGGCGCTCCTCTGCACGTTGACCAATGCGTGGCGACGTCTCCTCCCTCTCTCCTGCGTTTTTTTCAATTTTCCAGGCCTCTGTCACGTTTCGATCTATTTTCTTTTGATTTTTTCATCTTCCAATTTGTAATCTGAACCTTGTAGATCTCATATCCTACTCCTTTGAAACAATATTCTTATATTTTTCTGATAATCATAGATCTTAATATTTGAGTTCGAATTCAGAGAAAAACACGAGTTCTTACCGAAAATCACGTTTTCTTGAAACTCCGATTCGAACGCCAATCTTGGCCGCCTTCACTCCAGAACTTAACCAGATAACGCTGTTGAGGTTAAAAATCCAAGGATCAACACAAAACGTCGCTAACACACGAAAATCTTGATGACTTCTCGATCTAGACATTCGTGGACTAACCTGAAGTTCTTGGACGTTTTGACGAGATAGGAAGGTGCGATTCGTGAGAGCACCTTGCCTCGGACTGTTGATGGTTAAGATTGAAGATTCGGATCTCTGGCGTCTTTCTTCTCTTTCTCTCCCCTGCCTTAAAAACCCTAATCTTCTTTCTCTCTTCTTTCTTCTCTGTCTCTGCCCTCTTCTTTCTCTTTTCAGATTATGACCCAATCAAATCAGACCCCTCAAGTAATAATAGGGCAAAATGACTAGTTTACCCCTATTGTGACCTTTTCTTTTTTTTTTCTTTTTTTTTTCACTCGGGCGCTACAACTAGTCTTTGTTTTAGCTCTTGAAAGTTGGCCTCACAAGTATCGTCCCAAACGAAAGGTACACCTTTTTTTGTCAATTGGGTGAGAGGCGTGGCTATTATAGCAAAGTCCAGGACAAACCTTCGTTAGTAACCTGCCAATCCCAAGAAACTTCGTATCTCGGTGACCATTGTTGGGCGTTTCCACTTCGTGACAGCTTCTATCTTATTGAGATCTACGAAAATTCGATTTTTAGACACTACGTGCCCCAGAAACGAAACCTGTCGTAGCCAAAATTCGCACTTGGAGAATTTGGCATACAACTTGTTCTCCCTTAAAATAGTTAAGGCTTTGCGAAGGTGCTCTTTGTGTTCTAGGTCTGTTTTCGAGTATATCAAGATGTCGTCTATAAACACGATCATAAACGAGTCTAAGCACTCCTTAAATACTCGGTTCATTAATTCCATAAATACCGCTGGGGCATTGGTGAGACCAAAAGACATCACCACAAACTCGTAGTAGCCATATCTGGGTCAAAAGGCTATATTCGGTATGTTTTCATTTTTAATCTTAATTTGATGATATCCTGATCGAAGATCTATTTTAGAAAACATTGTCGCCCCTCACAGTTTTTCAAATAGGTCCTCGATACGGGGTAATGGGTATTTGTTCTTTACCGTCCTCTTGTTTAATTCCCTATAATCAATGCATAAACGCATTGAGCCGTCTTTCTTTTTTACAAACAACACTGGCGCACCCCAAAGAGATGGGTCTCGTTCCTGGTTCCAGTTCTATTCCAAAGTCTACCTCTCACGATGGAGGGATTCCCGGGAGGTCCTCTGGGAAGACATCCATAAATTCGTTTACTATGGATACTGTATCTATTGGTTTTTCCTTTCCTTTTGTGTTTACTACACAGGCTAGAAACGCCCACCCCTCTTGTTGTACCAAGCGTCTCGCTTTCATAATCGATATTATTCTTGGGGTGGTACCTGTGGAGGTCCCTTTAAACTTAAAGGTAAGTCCGTTTGGAGGTGTGAATATCACCTCTTTCTTATGGCAGTCTATGCTAGCAAAGTCTACCCCTTCTGGGCTACCGACCGACAATACATGCATTAAGGGTTCTACTACGCACCCTGCTTGTTTAACAAATGGTAAAGAAACAAACGAATGGCTAGAACTAGAATCAAACAATGTCAACGCAAAGTGTCCTAGTATAGAAAACGTACCTGTCACCATGGTGCCAGACGTTCCTGCCTTTTTACTGGTCATTGCATATGCCCTGGTCTGTGGGTGGGTTTGTATGGTGAGCTCTCGAATGACTGGTCCTCTAAGGAGTTCCCTTGGATTTCTCGAGCTTCTTGTAGGGCAAGTTCTGGCCACATGACCTGCATGACCACAGATATAACACATACCTGAGACCGCCAAACATCTCCCAACATGTTGTTTTCCACAGTCACGGCACAGGGGCTTCTCCAGTGTTAGGTATCGGGCTATTGGGGGTGGAGCAGGTGGCCTACTCTGATATCGAGGTCTCTAGAGCGGTGGTTGGAATTTTGTGGTTTCGACCTTGATAAGGCGTTTCCTCCCTATGACAACTGTTGGCTCCGTTTTTTTCTCCTCCGGGGGGTTTTCTAGGGCCTTGGCTATCCTTAGGGCCTCTTCATAGGTTTTTGGGTTAAAGGCCTCCAACATGCGGCGGGTCTTCGGGTTCAATCCCAACACAAATTTTTTAGTCTGTTTCTCTTCAGTGTTAGTTAATGACGGTGCAAACCTTCTTAATCTCATGAATTCCTGATCATACTGATCCACCGTGCGATCACCTTTGGTTAAGTGGTTAAACTCTTGTTATTTCTTTATGCAGGTTTTCTTTGGATAATAATATTTCAGAAAGGCTTCCTTAAAGGTTTCCCACGTTGTAATCCCCTCACCAGAGTTGATGCTCTGTTTATTATCCGACCACCACACTTCTACATCTTTTTGTAATACATACGTCGCACACGCCACCTTATGTTTGTCAGGGCATTAATTCAAAGGTCATTTCCATGTTTGCGATCCACATCTGAGCCACTGTGGGATCTTCCTTTGAACTGACAAAAGGATGGGGGTTATACTGTCTGAAATCCTTTAACCAACTCGCACCCCTATCCGGATGCAGGTTGTTCACCGGTTGCATAGCTACCGCATCCATCGGTTGCGTGGCTGTCGCGTTGGTTGGTTGCGTGACCATTGCCGCGACTTGTTGCGTAGCTAACAACGTGGCTTGTTGTGTGGCTAGGATGGTTTGCATTGTCGTTTGGAGGGATTCCAACATTAACCTTGTGGTGGGGTCTAACTTGGCCTGTGGTGCAGCTTGAGGGGGCGGTGCGTATTCAGGAGGTGGTACAAACGCATATGGTCCGGTAGTCAACCCCTCTTGGGAAGAGCTTCTATCAGCTTCTCCTCTTCCCTCTCTCCTAATGGGAGGTCGTCCTCTCCCTCTCCTACCTCTTTTACGTCCTCTGTGCGGCTGCTGGGTTTTATGTCCTAAAACTCATAGTTTGTAAACAAAAACATATTCTATTTTCAATAAAGTTATTATTGTTATTTATTCAGTAAAGATTGTTATTGAATAAAGTGAATTTTACGATCATAAATCTAAATCCAGTAAACTAAGACCACTCTGGCTATAGTATGATTACTTGAACTATATGTAGAGACATAAGAGTGGATCAAGTTCAAGTATATACTCAAAATGATCTATAGTATAAGGATAAGGCTGTGTACCCTATTCTGGGGACACTAAGGATGTGGCCCACTTTTGTATATGATATAAACAATGTGATCACTAAATTGTACATGTGGAGACATGTGAGTGGGGGCATCCCATGCAATGAATATTGCATAAGATCGGACCATGAAGAAAACCACTCTCACTTTATAATGTCGTTTACTATTGAGACTGATTTTCTTTTCATTCGATGACCTAGGTAACTCGATCTTAATCTTGAGCTAACCATGAACTCCTGTTTATTCCGAATTATCCTTAGATTTGCATGGGTGAGAGTGGCTCGAGTTTGCCGATTCAATAGGCCTCCCATTTCAGGGGTAAGACTGGGTGAATAGCTGGAGAAGTGGGGTGCAAGATGGAATTCGCTCCTACCCACTTTTAGGTATAGAAGAGAGGTAGTTCCCTTAAACACTGACTTCAGGTCTTGAACAAGAGGCCCCACCCTCTCATTGGCCTGAGAGAGATTTGGTTTACTGGTTGGACCACAAACCAATTCTTCATAAGAGGATCAGTGGGACATAAGGAACAAGAAGTAACTTTAGGGGTAAAACGGTAAATTGATCCAGCTCTAGTTACGAACAACCTGTGAAGGATCGACTTACTAATCATGGTTATATCAAATGGACAGAGATATATCTATAGTGCGGGGAGTGCAACTACTAGGCTATAGTGGAGTGTCCTAGTAGTTAACGAATGTTGGTTAACAAGGTTAATGAGTTTAACCGGTTAATCTTGGATCGTTGGAGCCCATGATCTATAGGTCCATTAGGTCCCTCTGCTAGCTCATATCGGACTAAACCATAGAAGAGTGTGACGAGTGAGTTCAAAGTGTTCGAATTCAAATTAGGGAATATGCGCTACATATATCTGATATATTTAACCGCATTTTTGTTTTATTTACGAATTAAACAAAAAGAGAGAATCTAAGATATTTAAATAAGATTTAAATATCTTAATCAAATATGTGTCGGAATTGATTGGGATTGGCATTTGAATTAATAGTAAATATTAATTAAATAGTTTAATTAATCATTTAATATTACTTTAATTTGAAATTAATTATTCAAATTAATTGTTGAATTAAAATGAAGAAAGTCAAAATGTTGACTTCATGTAATGGAAAAATCCATGTGAGTGGAATTTTGAGGTGTCAAAATTTGGTTTAACCAAACTTTCATGCTTGCCAAATAAACCCCACGAATTTTAGTGGAATTTTGAGTGTCAAAATTTGGTGAACTCAAACTTGCAGGCTTAGCCCCATAATCTTAAACATTTGAGTGGAATTTTGAGTGTCGAAATTTGGTGATCTCAAATTTGCATGAACATGCAAACATAACTCTATAAATAGAGTGATCACGGTACATGGAAGATCTTCTTTGGTGAAAAACCTTGAGAAAAACCTCTCACAAACACTCTCTTCATATATACAAAATTCCTCCTAAGTTTAGTCACTCACCGGATTCCACAATCATGTCATGCATCATTTAAAGCCAACCACATTAAATATATCACAAAGATCATACATCCCTCATTCTACATAAGGTATACCTGGCAACGACGGGGCATCGGTAATTGGATCGTGGAACATGCCAAGCCTACTCTGTAGGCTAGTCTACAAGATTTATAACCTGGCTCTGATACAAACTGTAACGACCCTAAATTTTACCTATTTAATCTAAGGTCATTACTATACCTTGAAATGCGGAATATACATTAAATGGGCCTTGTTCATTATACACCTTACACTCGCCTTTTATTATCTCGTGAAAGAGAAGATGATTACAAGGGAAAGAAAGGAAAAGAACATTATTGAAATAAAGGAAAAGGAACGAAACCGAAATGAATGTCTTATACTACCCTATGGTTTATTATGCAAATACAATTCAACCTATACTAACCTATACTAATGATGCAAACCAAAAGGGTCAGAACATTGACAAACGGGCTGAAAATAGGTTTTGCGAGCCGAATAAGCAGCCGGAGCCGAGAAGCTGCCGTTGAGCCGATTGAGTGTTC